TGGAAAGTTCTAACACTGACCAAAACCAAATCAAAGAAGTAAAACTGGACAAAAGTCCATCATTGACTTTAGAGGCTCCAGGAGATGTCAACTCAACAAGTGATTCTGTTACTGATGAACATCCAGGAGAAGTGGGAAATTCACAGATGCAGTTTTCAGATCCAGGAGTTAAAGACTCTGCACCTCCAGGAGCAGGAGGCAATGAAGAGAAAGGAAATGTAAAGGATAATAATCCCATAGAATTGCTACCTTTTGTAGAGGATGCTCTAGTGCAAAAAGATAGTACTGTACATTCTTCTCTTGACACAAGAGAGCCCAACAAAGAAACAGAACATTCTAAGTATCGGGAGGAAAAACAAGAGTCAATAGATACTAACAGTGTTGAGGAGTGGTCAACAGAGTCCACTTTAAGCAATCAGGATGTTGAAGAAAAACCTGCTTCGGATATTGAGAGTCCGCTATTAAATGTTGATAAAAAAGACCACAAAAATTCAGATGGTTTTTTGAAAGATGAGAATGCTGCAAGAGCCAGGCCATCTGGAGAAGTGCTTGCAGAAATTGCGAAAGAAACAAAGGCAGGTACTGAAGTGTCTGGGAAATCCAAGCCTAGCCAAGAATTGAACAGTTCTGATCTACACAGTAAGAACACAAACAAACAAGAAACACAAGATTCACTTCAAGTGAATGAAGATAGTGTGACCAAAACTAAAGAGGAGGAAGTGAGTGAAGTAAATGTAAAGCCAGTGGTGGTTACTGAAGATCTAACTGAGAAAAATAATAATTTGGATATTTCAGATACCAAAATAGAAATACGAGAAAAAGAAGAGACCTTAACTCTTGCGGTGGTCGGTAAAGCTGAAACACATTTGGAATATGAACAGAAAGACATCTTTGACAAGACTGAAGAAAAAATAGCTAATTTAGAAGAGAGCGAACAATTAGCTGAAGAGCTTCCTGAAGATTCCCTACTTCTAATGAACGATACTGTAGAGGAGACATCTTTTGTTGAAAACCTCAAATCCTTGAGCATCATGAGGGAGCATTTGGATGAGGAACGCATAGCCCAGTTCACAAAATACTTTGGTCCTGAGAACATTATGAGACTGGAAGGCATGTTTCAGGATATAGACTCTGAGCTGCAGTTAGCTCAAAGGGGCCATTTAAATCTGAATTATGCTGACAAACCTCTGGATCAGAGTTTAGAGGCATCAGCGTCAAAAATTCTTGACTTCGTGAAGAGTGTTTTGATTTTTTGGGAAGGAAACCCTGAGAAAATGATAACAGAGAAAACATTTTTTGAGGAAAAAGCAGGTTTAATAGATGAGGTCCAGGAAATCTTGCATAGGCTCAGGCATAAACATTCTACACTGACTGACAATTCTCTGCTCACATCGGGAGAGGTAAAAGACCAAGAAGAGGGTAAGAAGGGTCTTAGTTTTTTGCAATGTATTTGTTCTTATACAACATGGTACAGTCTTCCATATCAAGCTGTAGTTTTTTATGGATATTCCCTAACTGGAGATTTCTCAAGGAGACCACAGTTACACTATTGTAGATTATTTTTAGGGCTGGTAATGATTAAAATTTTTGTGTTCGATTAATCGAAATTTTTTATTTTTTCAAATTCTTTATTGACTGAAGAAACCATCAGATATAACAATACAATGTGATTGAAAGCAAAATCAGTTATATACAATCATTAAGGCACGTTGAGAAACGGTCTACACCTAGTCAACGCAAGCATATCCTATCTAAAAAGTCGCATCGGGAATAGGTGGAAACAGCTCAGTACAGTAGTTGATTCAACAATACTTTAGACTCAGTGATGACATTCTGTACGTTGAAGCTCTGTGACTAAGTACTATATCCAACATCGGATAGTGTCTCAAGGTCGAGGGGAAAATGAAAGCGGAAAGAAAGTGGAAAAGGTAGAAAGGAGTCGAGGTCCCGGCCGGAACCCGCAACGCCAGCCGGCGTCCAAGGTCGCATCGGGGTTATTCCCATCTGAGCCACCCCAGATGTCTTCATGTCAGTCCGGGTGACGAAGACCCGATCAGGCCAACCCGTGTAGGTTGGTCTAGGCTTTGGGCAGAAATTCTGTAGCATAACCATGGCCCCCAGGTGGCATTAAAACGGGCCTCCGTATTTTTCAGTGTGGCAGTTAGGTCCTCTAGCAGATAAGTATCTTGTACTCTAGCAAGCCACATCTGGACAGTAGGTGGGTGAGGGTCTCTCCATTTCATGGGGAATAATCGACATTTTTAAAATCGATTAATTATAACGCACATACAGATCCAACTACATTGGCCTATACACATACAGCACAGCAATGAAGTAATAAAATGAACTAGGATCACACTAATCCAGCACATTATTAATCTCACGTGCCCCACTCAATATGGCCGCCGCTTGAGTGGGGCAACTCAGAATAATAACGTGCTGGATTACAAATGTATTTACATAGTATAGTAAAACAGCAAAGCCCTAAGGGTGATTTAAACATAAGTATTAGCTTAATATTTGAAGTAGCAGCACCTGTCCATTCCATTTCATGTAAGGACCTGATTGCAACATAATATCAGTAAATTTCAATGGGCACATTTCTGGGAGCAAGATGGGAGGGGGAGGGGTTAATGGAGAGGCACATAGTGCATATTAAGATAAGACAGAAGCTTAGTGCTTCTTGGGCAAACTCAACGGCCCAAGTGGCTCCGTCGGCTAACGAAGGGAAGGGGGAGGAGTCCAGTGTTTTTCATGCGTAGGCGCACCCGACGCGTGTTTACGTGGCGACGCGCGTGCTCGCGGGGGACTTTAAAAATTTTTTTTGTGATACCAGATGGTCGTGACAGGTACTCTTTAAGGTGATGCTGGGGGTCCAAAAGACCCCCAGTGTCACCTTTACACTGGAAATAAGCTATTGAAGGGCAGATCGCACTTCAATAGCTTATAGCTGGGCTCCAGGAGCCCAGAACTGACAGCCCAGGGACCGGAAGTGATGCAATCTGCATCGCTCCCGGTCCCATAGAACGGGGAGGGGATCGATGAACGGAAGTTCGTCGACCTCCTCCCCAGCTCCCCGCGGACACCAAGATCGCCGGTCCCGGGCCCGTAACGGAGCCCGGGAAGCACGACGGGGGGGGTTGGCCCCTTCTTCGGGACACAGAAGCGATCTGGCGACAGGTAAGTCGCCAGGATCGCTTCTGTTGTAAAGCCGACAGTCGGCTCTACAAGTTTAAACAGAGTCCCGGTGGCAAAAGTCGCCGGGAGTCTGTTTAAACAGCCCCGATGCTGGCGACGCACACTGTACGTCGTCAGTCACGAAGGGGTTAATTGAGGAATTAATCATTAATTTCCACAGCCCTAATTATTTTTGGTAGTTCTTGTCAAGCCGCTAGCCGAATATGGAGGTAAAGTCCAGGCTTTTTGTCTTGTTCACCTCAGTGGGTACAGATATACTGAAAGACAACCTGTATTTTTTGCCCATGCAAGGCAAAGTAATAGGTTTACTTTACTGCCTTCATCTCCAAAAGTATATACTCGCCTTTCCTTCGCTGCGATGGTTCTATGTTCAGCTATACTGAGCAATGAAAATACCTTATATATCTAGGTATGGAGCAGCGTGTGACTAAGGCCCCTCGTCTCCTAAAACAATGCTGGTGATTATTGATTGGCTCAGTGCTGTGGGTCAGAGAGAGTCCTATGACTAGAACCTTCCTTTCCTTGCTCCCAGTGGTTGAACGGAGTGAAAAGTGGTGAAGAAAACATGATTATGTGCTGCTGGAGGGCGGCTACTTTTGTTCCCCATGGTCCCTGTGTGTGTTGTAAAGTAGCCACCGCTCCAAGCTCGCTACCGTGATGGACTACAATCTCTTGTTTAGTTTACTAAATTGTATTAAGATTGTAGTCCTTCATGGGAGTGAATTTGGAGCAGTGGCTACTTTACAACACACAGGGACCATGGGGAACAAAAGTAGCCCCCTTCCAGAAGGAAGGACAGTGTCCGCACCAATCCAGAGATGATTTGAGGATCTACAGCCGAGTGATACACAAATAAGATACATTTTTGTTAATAGGGTATTCAAATGTATATTTAACTCCTGTTTTGTGTAGCTTTAAGTTAAAATGAGGGAATATTGTGAATGGGTGCATCACAGGATTATGGCTCTTTGTTGCAGGGGTCTACTACGTATATGTTCATACTAATATTTGTACTTGCCCCCTGGCTGCCCAGTAGTTTATAGCAAACAGGAACTTTGAGTTTAGGTCTGATGTAAAATATGAGAGCCTAGAGCAGGAGTCGGCTAACTCTGGACCTCCAAGTTGTTGTGAAACATCAAATCCCATCATGCATCTGTCTCTGGGAGTCATACCTGTGGTTGTCAGAGTCTTTGAATGCCTCATGGGATTTATGCATTCGCATAATTGGAGCTAGGAGGTATTATTAACCTGCAACCTTATGCAAATGCAATCAACACCTGGTTTCCACTAACAGATTATGTGGATTGGAGCAACAATCTCCACAGCAACAATATTCCCAGATAATTTTTTGTACAAGTCATCCTGAATTGAGAAAGCTGGTTGGATGACCAGTAAAACATCTCCAAGAAAAATACAGCAAGTCCAGTTGCCTTGACTTATTTTTTACAGATATACCATGACCTGGATGAATGAGAACCTTCACAGATATAGCTTTACTGGCTGCAGTGCGGCTCTGCACTGTCAGCATATAGCGGGCAGCAGGTGCTGACTTTGGGTCACAGGAGGACCGTAGTAAATGTCCTCCTGTAACCCAAAAGAGAACTAAAGCCTAAAAATGGTTTGGCCATAGTTCTCTTTTAGTGCTCTTGTAATCTTTCACCTAGGCTGCTATGGGAGCAGTGTTATTTATTTGGTACTTAAAATAATAATGTACTTTGTTAACACTAACATGTGCCCCGTTGATAAATGCTTTCATGCAAGTGTGAGCTTTAATGACATGTCCACTTTAATCCTTTCTATAGAGAAGTCATTTTCCGATGATGTGAATCCAGAGGAGGATAAATTGGAACCAGATCCTATCACCAAGGAAGAAGAGTCCACAGTTACTCCACCACCAGAAAAGGAGATAGTGGATCAACCATCTGACACGGAAGAGAGGACATTTGAGGAGGAGAAGAAGAAGAAAGAAGCAGAGGTTGTCCTTCCCACTCCGGAGTCCTTGGATCACACACCACATGAGCTGGATGAAGCTGTTTCCCAGAATAAGGAGAATGTTGGTATAGGTAAGGGACACAACCCTTAATCCGATCACATTTTAGTGATGAACCTTTTTAGTTGGGTTGCCGAGTACAGACTGATGATAAGCTGCATTCAGCTGGGGTGGGTCATTTTGGTTACTGCAAAATAATGACCCCTGATGGTGTTTTAAGACTTGGGTCATCATGATGATTAAAAGATGCTCCTATTTGATCCAGTTCTGGTGGCTTGCAGAATCTGCGTGAGCAGGGATAACCAGCAAGATCATTTTAGTGCTGACACCCACAGATGCTTATTCTTACTTTACCTGCACTTCTCTGCCACTCTGTTTGGCCATCAGGGGTAAAGAGAACAGATATCATGTAGGCTCATCTTGGAGCTTAAAGCTAACCTTCAGATAAACAACTAAATACACAGATGGAAAATATATATTGGAGCCATTTTACCTTCCAATGTGTTTGTAATTTCATAAATCGAGTTCTGATATTTTCAGAGCTATGCTACACAGCATAGCTCTATCGGGCAGGGAAAGTGACCTGATCTTACTCTCCTGCAGTTGGGTAATACTGACAGGTCTACTTCCTTCCCCAGCCTGTGACTGGACATTTAAAGACGCATCATCAGTCTGATTAGCTCATCTCTTGGTCACTTTGCTCTCTCTTACTATCAGCATGCTCCTTGCAGTGCATTTTGTATGTTAGTAGTATTTTGAATTTTATGTTAGGCAATTGGAAGCCAGTGGAGGAATTGGCAGAGAGGGGTGGCGGACACTGAACAGTTAGTATAGTGGATGAGTCTGGCAGCAGCATTCATGATAGACCAAAACACTGATGGCCTGTGTAGAGGTCGGCAAGTGAGGAGGGAGTTCCAGGAGTTGAGGCATATAGTATTAAAGGTAATTTTGCAAGTAAAGGAAGGCAGTGGTATGGTTATCTGTGTCTTATCAACCATAGGGGGGATATATTACAATGGCACCTGGAAGTGGGGGGGATATATTACAATGGCACCTGGAAGTGGGGGGGATATATTACAATGGGACCTGGAAGTGGGGGGGCGGGGATATATTAGGCGGCAAGTAAACATTTTGTCTCTGAAGTTGATGTGTTGGAAGCAGAAAAAATGGGCAAGTGTAAGGATCTGAGTGACTTTGACAATGGCTAAACTGTGATGGCTAGATGACTGGGTCAGAGTCAAATTGTCAATATGTGTCATATTGTTATGGCTGATCGGTGTGTATATATAGTAATGATAATCCTTCAGAGCTAAGTGCAACTGATGTACAATCCACAATTGTATCTCTGTATGTAGGTGCTGCTTTGGGAGACGACGGTGAGGAGCGCCAAGATTTGGAACCCTGGTACACATTAATCCTGCAGATATTTTCCAGCATTGGCAGTGCTCTGCTTGCAGCCAAGAAGTCTCTGGTTCCTGTTGCAGGCCTGGTGAGTACAATGTACATAACTTATGCAGTAAGCCATGGAAAAAAGGTTAGATATCCGATTGATGGAATTGCATCAGCTAAGGTATTATTTGTCATGAATCAAAAGCACTGCCCAGAGCAGCTGAGCACATGGCCTGTGGCGAAAAAGATTATAATGGGTGTTTAACATTATTAGAGACTATAGAGTCATTGTTTCCAGTCACATGCCACGTCTCCAGTGAAATAAGATACAAACTGAATGTATAGGCATACCCTCCTTTGGATGTATAAGTGCGCCGTCAGGCCTGTTTTCGTTTTTCTCTGTAGCCTGTAAGCACGCAGTTTAGGTTGGCATGGCTAAGATCGCCTCTTTTCTTATTTTACTGGTCCTATACTGGCCTATCATTTGGTGACAATGTGTAAATAAGGGTCTATATGATGATTGTATTCTACCAATAGAAACAAATGTACATCCAATGATGACAAAAGGAATTAACCACCTATTTGCTCCTGCCACCTATAGGCGCAAGCCTGCTGTGCCTAATGATAAATCTGGCCCTGGCCTTCATACTAGTTGTTGGTAAATCTGAAAACAATTGGACAATCAGAGATGCTTATAGAAAAGTTCTCTCTTCAGGGCAGGCTCACACCATTTTCTGGACCAGATCTGGAACGCACTGTGTTGCGTTTTGCTGCATATTTAATGCATTCACTTTCAGGTCTTGCTGGGGGACCTCTGCAAGACCTTCAGATAGCCAGGACAAGAGCAGCACAATGCTTGCACAGAAGAGACATGAACTTTTGTTCTTTTCTTTTCAGAGCTGCCCAAATGATCATAGCCAGGGACAACCTGGGCAGCAATGCCTCTCCACTTGTCCATCTTCCTATTATTGTTCTTATATTGCCCATGCCTCGGATCATACCGCTCTGGGCAGGCTTCCGCAAGTTCTACAAAGAATTCAGTGTCCACTTCAGCAATCGTGGTTCCTATCTTCACAAATCTCTCCACAGGAGCAGGAAGTCCAGGGGTGATGAGATCAACCAAACCAGCCAAAATGTTTTTGTTTTTTATCCCCGTTGCGTTTTTGACGCGTTTGTGTGCGTACCAGTGCATTCCAGACCAGACAAAATGTGACACGCAGTATTTTTCTGGTCTGGCCTGGAACTGACTGCAATGGTGTGAACTGAGGCCAAGAAGAGCATAGGGAAACATTGGGATGCATTTTAGGTCCAGAAACAATCTGGTCTGGTCTGGAGGTGGTGTGAATGGGCCCTAAGGCCCCGTTCACATATAGCGAATTGTCGCGCGATATCGCGCATTTTTGCCGCGCGATATTGCGAGAAGTCGCCGGCCAATGTTATTCAATGGAGCTGTCTTAACTCCATGTCGCGCGTCGCTCGTCGCGGTCGCAAGTCGCTTCTACCGGACCCTTTTTTCGGCGGATTTTGCGCGATTTTGCTTTTTTTCTATGGAGCCCGACGGGGAAGGTCGCGCTACCGTCGCTGGAACGTCGCCCCGAAAGTCGCGCTATCCCGGCCGTGCGGATCCGCTGCAAAAGGTATGTCGCTATATGTGAAAGGGGCCTTAGGCTTAGCACCCAAACCAAATTCTTGGTATATACCTGAGATTCCCAGCAGGGGGCAGTCACCCCACAACAATCACTTTTGAAGGATACAGAAACTTTAAGGAGAATTATGGGGTGAGTGAAAAGCACTCATCCCCATAATTCAAGAGAGGCAGAGCCAGCTGCCAATCAGCCAGCGGGGTGGATCTCGAAAGAATTGTCGGGATCCGCTGCGGCGCAGCTCTGCGCTCTCAGCATACTGAGTTTCAGGTCACTGGGGGACATAAGTATATGTCTTCCTGTGAGCCGTGACAGGGGAGTGACTGGATTCCCCCCTCTCCTGTCCGATCCTCCAGCGCTGACTGGCGGAACAGACGGGGGACAGGGCGGGTACAGCTGGCTCTGCCTCTAGATAGGCAGAGCCAGCTGTCACTCTCGTAGCTGGGCGGATGCAGACATAGTCGGGATCCGTTCCGGCTGTAGCTCGCGGTATACTGAGCTTTTGGTCATGGGAGGACGCTAGTTTGTGTCCTCCCGTTACCCTTAGGAGAACTATGGGGAAAAGCCCTGACCCCATAGTTCTCTAAGTAAAATGACCAAAAATGCAGAAACAAAAAAAGTTTTTGTTCATTTGTCAGCTCAAAAATCAGTGCCTTACACGCCCTCAAAAATAAAATTTCCACTTTTGCAGTTTTTTTAAGAAAATCCCTCTATATGTCTGTTATGTGTTCCCATTCACTAGACATGTGCATCTGCAAAAAATTAGTTTAGTTTAGTTTTAATTCAGATTTTGCGTTATTTCGTTTTATGGGATTCGGGTCCGAAAGTCAATTAATCGAGTTCGGCTGAACCGAAGTGAAGAACACATTCACCTTAGCCGATCCAACATATGACAGTTCAGTCTCTGCTGTTTGCCCCTATTCTCATAGGGGCCGAACAGCGGAGAGTGAATAGCCGAATGCTTCCGCGCTGTTCGCTACCTCATTGGCGAACAGAATGAAAATAAAAGTGTACAAATGTAAAAAAACACAGCGTGGGGTCCCTCTTCCAAACCATTCCAGATCCTTTAGGTCTTGTGGGAATTTTATGAGGGACCCCCAAGTTAAAAACAAAATGTGTGCGGTTCCTCCAAAAGTCATACCAGGCCCTTTAGGTCTTGTAGCAATTTTAAGGGGGAACCCCACCCCAAAAATTGGGTGAGAAAAAACATTCCTATCAGACCCTTGATACGAGCACAGGCCCGGCAGGGAAGGGGGGGTCGATCGAGCGCCCCCCCCACTGCGCCTTACCAGGCCACGTGCCCTTGGCATAGGAAGGGTGTCCGGATGGATCTCATGTTCCTAGTCAATAGATGTATTTTAGAGAATGCATAATATCATAAAGCCAATCAAACTTTAGAAAAACACTTAGAACTGACCTCTGGCCTTCCCTCCAGTCTTGCACGGTTGTACCAGCTCCTCTCATGGACTAAAATGGCTTCCTCTGATTTCACTGCACACGGCGAGCTTCTCACAATGTGCATTAGGAGCTGCAACAAGGCAGCTTATATGGATCTCCCCGCACTTAAAGAGAACATACAACCAAGAAGAAACCTGCAGTGTGTGTGTGTGTGGGGGGGTACATGCCTATATATGTGTGACCCACACCACAATTTTCCAATGTGTAATAAAACACGAGTAGCATCCACAGTCCTCTATAAGTGATAAGTGACATGAAGATGTGGCTTTGGAAGTTCAGAGGGCAGGCATAGTTAGGGACTGCAGGAGGTAACGGGCCACAGGGGCCAGCAGTATCAAGCCTTTGGTTTATGCTGCATTTTAATTGGTTCATTCTTTAACTGAATTGAGATTCTCTGATAGCTTGTTGGTTGTTCTTCTACTTTTTCGGATATTTGAGATGTTAAAAGCCTTGTATGACCGGAGGTCACTGGAGCCTAGACCTTCAGACCAAATGTAGCCGTGTCGGTATGCCATGGCAATCACTCTGTGACTAATGTGCCAACCTCAATAATCTGATACTGTCTAACAAGGACATTTCAGTGGTTACAATGTTTGAATAAATACCTTGCTCGGATTTCTTTTTTTATTATAGGCTGACAAATGCACAAAAAAGGGAAAAAATAAAACGTTTCTCAGCATCTATGATTATTTAAATGAAAGCCCGATTGAACCTTCAGTTTAAATCTGCATAATACATTCCAGAAGCATGAAAAGAAAAGGTACTTAAAGCCCTCCAGCTTGTTTTCTTTGTAAAGCAGCTACAGCCTGAGTAGAAAAGACTGCCCCCCTGCACTGTGTGAGGAAGCAGTGGTCTCTCTGCAGAGGTCCACCATGCCCCTCGCTGTGTAAGACCTATAGCTCTGCAGTCATCAAAGTACATGCTTTGGGCTGATTGGGAGCTTCTGGTTCTGTCTCAGCAGGGTGCATGTTGGAACTCTGCAGAGAGACCACTACTTCCACACAGTGAACAAGGGACCCGTTCTGCAGCTGCTGGCAGAGGATGGGCTTTTCTACTAGCTGCTTTCTAAAGGAAACGAATTATAAGAGTTGTTCTGATGCATATGGAATGTATTTACAGGGGTGTGGACATTTAAAAAACAATTACTTGTCCAAGGACTAAAGCGAGGGCCCAATCTACTTCTAGTCACTCATGACAATCTGCTTGTAAATAATTTTAACCAAAACCATATTTAACCGTGCGAAGAAGCACTTCTCATTGGTCAGTGTGGTCAGGTGACCGTGCTGACCAATGACGGCTCGCAATTTGCAAGTGAAATAAAAAAATGCATAGTGCAGGGTTTCCCATGATGGCAGTATGGGGTACGGATAGTACACCCGTGCCGGCAGAGGGGGAGGACCATTCGCCGAAGACACGTACAAGTACAGCAGGGGGGGGAGAGGGGGCCAGATTTGAGCAGGTTATTCCATTTTTCCAAATGACTTTAATACGCATTGTGCATGTTAGAAATGTAAAAATTGTTCTGGTCCATAAGGGTCTTAATGTGAACTGTAACTGTAATGTCTTCCTTGTTTTGTACCGCGCTGCACAGACTGTTGGTGCTATATAAATAATAATAAGGGGTGTACAGGTACTGGCGCTGAAGAGGTTAAGTAACTGTATGATAAGAGGAGTCAGAGTCCACAGAGCTGAATTCTCATTGGTGGATGAGTCACCTGCTGATATCTTGTATCTGGCAGCAGTTTGTGTTTCCTCCCTTCTCACAATGCCACAACCAATATGTCCCACTCACAGCTGGATTCCCTCTTTATGTTTGCTTTATATTGCGGCGATAACGCCAGGGCGGGGCAGGAGACCTGCAGTTAGGTAACAAGTTACCGGTCTAGTCCCTCCCCCAGCCTGTGATTGGACAGAGAAAAGAAGAAGCAGCAAACTTGTGAGCTTGTCAGTCACTCTGCTTTCTCCTCTCATCAGCAAGCTAGTTGCATTGCAGCACAACTTATTGGCTCCTTGTGCTGATTCTCCCTTCCACTGTCTGAGCTCTGCTGTACAGGGACTGCAAGAGGCTGATCGTAGCCAAATTCAGGCACTTACACGGCTTGTATTAAAAAAAAGAAATGTAATGATATATGAATGGAGAGCTGCAATCATGTGTGTCTTTATCTGCCTGGAGTGTAGCTGTAAAGTACACGTGGGCTGCCATTGCTGATTTCTCCATCTGAAAATGCTAGTTGCCTGGCTGTCCTGCAGATGCTTCAGTATATTCTGGTGTCCTTGAACCAGTGTAGAGATAAGGAGTCTGACTTTCCTTTGCTGCATGCCCTGCCCAGTTATCCCGTGCTGCACTACAGAACTCCTCGCCCTTTTGTTATGGAGAGAAGGAGACGGGGGAGGTGTTCTGTAACCCAGAAAGGGAGAACACTAAGGCCTTGTTCACACCAAATGCAGAGCAGATCCGGTCAGGTTTCTGCACACGCAGTGCAGTGGGTTGTGCCGCGATTTTGATGCGTTCCGGGCCGATTTTGGTTAAAAAAAAAATGTATATATATATATTGTTTTAAGTTTAACATGGGCTTTCAGGCACTTGCATGCGTTTTTGCGTTTTGCATGCATTTTTGATGCGTTCCAGAGCAGATCCAGAGCAGGTAAAATAGGGCTTTTTTTCACCTGCTCTGGATCTGGTCTGGATCCGCACGCTGCGATGTGAACTGGAGGTCAAAATACAATTGGAATACATTGGACGCAGTTTTGATCCGGTCTGCACCTGCTCTGCTCTGGATCTGCTCCGCGCTTGGTGTGAACAAGCCCTAATGGCATTGCTTGGACTTCAGTGCAGTAGGGGTACGGTGTTATCAGCTGACAGGAAGTTAGGAGCTCACTGGATTTCTGGCAGATCAGCGGGTATTATTCCGCACTGCTGCATTTTTAAGGGATAAGACATGAAGGAATGTGAATATAATGCGGAGATGTTTTGGATTTGTTTTGCATTTTGTCCAGAAATATACATTAAAGGAGAACTATGAGGTGAGTGATTTTCACTCAGCCTCATAATCTGAGCCGACCTGTGACAATGAGACTGTCACAGGTCGGCTCAGTAGATCGGGAAGTGAGCGAACACATACCGGCGCTCGCTCACTTCTCGATCCTGTCACCTCAGAGAGCTGTGACATGGGAGTGACTGGATTCCCCGCTCCGATCCTCCAGCACTGACTGGCGGAACGGACGGGGGAGGGGGCGGGTACATCTGGCTCTGCCTCTAGATAGGCAGAGCCAGCTGTCACTCACGCAGCTGGGCGGATCCAGACAATAATTGTCGGGATCTGTTCCAGCTGCGGCGTCTCAGTATACCGCGAGCTGTAGCTCGCGGTATACTGAGCTTTGGGTAACGGGAGGATGCTAGTTTGTGTCTTCCTGTTACCCTTCGGAGAACTTTGGGGAAAAGCCCTAACCCCATAGTTCTCCTTTAAGCCCGAAACAGACTCGCCCTCTAAGTGGTGCCATTCATATTAGTATGGCTTCTGGTCTGCTGCCATCTAGTGGTGGCTTGGTGACTTGTAAATGACTGCAGTCTTCAGTCTTACACAGTTGTAGCGGCTCCTCTCCTGCTGGACTGGAATGGCTTCCTCTGATTTCACTGCACACGGCGAGCTTCTCATAATGTGCATTAGAAGCTGCAACAAGTCAGATAGAGGCTGCTTCATTTCCTGGGTGATGGGCACCGCATCATCTAACTCTTTCCTCCCCAGGCCATCCCTTTGCAGATCTTTCCATCATGAAGGCTCCGCGTCACATGACGGCATTACCTGGGGTGGTCTGCATGCAAATTCAGCCTGCCTAGGAACGCCCACTCCTCCAGACTGACCGCCACCCATCAATAAAGAGGAGGGGGGGGGGGAAGGCAAACTATAACCCGATCATATGTCAGTGGCATATATCTGCCTATATCAGATTAATGTCCATCACTCTGGTATACAGTGTTGCTATGAAGGCGGTAAAGCAAGGCTGCCGGACCGGTCTTACCAGAGGCTCCTCAATAATCTTATTTAATGATGACCGTTCTCCAATTCTGGATTTAGTGTACAGGAAAGTAAATATGGATAAGATGGCTGTAATCCGTGGCCTGTGTGCACGGCTCGGGTACTCACCTTCCTGATTTATTGACTTGCAATGTGCCTCTTCCCTTTGATAGGCAGCTGACACTCTAGAAGTATCATTTCCCTTGCACAGTCCCCTCCCTCCTTGTATGTCATAACAACCCTCCTTTCTACTGGGAGTGTCTAATCACTGCCTGTGCTGGCCCAGCTCCTCCACCCCTTACCTCCCTACATGCCCGTTTATGTAGCAGCTGGGAAAGGAGAATACAATAGAATGTCACTGGAGTGTCAGCTCAATCTTTTGTGACCGCTGACATCACAAGATGGCGACGCTGGGCAGCAGTCTCGGGTGTATTGGACGTCTACACCAGGGAGGCTAGCACAGGCAAACATGCAGCACCACATACATAGGCCAGCACTTTCTTTGCAATTGAATTTGCAGCAGGATCTTGTAAAGGTCCATACACAGCCAGAGAAGTTGTGCTAACCCTTTACGGAATTCCCCACACTGTGTCCAATTAGATGGAGGTTCTCCCAAGATGGTGGCCAGAGTCCACAGGAAAGGACACACTAGCCCTAGGCTGGGCTGATTGGGAATGTTTATAGCGTTGGACTCACCACACACATTACAATCTGATTGTACAAGCTTCTTTACAACCACTAACTAGTGCAGGGGTCTGCCTGCTTGGATACACATTTATCTGATAGTTCAGATGGGTCCTCATATTACATTAGGGTTGCCACCTGTCCAGGATTCACCCGGACAGTCCGGGTTTTGAATGCTGTGTCCGGGTTTCATGGCAGCAGAAACCCGGACACATGATGTCAGGCAGACCGGGGCAACCAAAATTAAGATAGGGGCTACTGCTCCCTTCTAAAAATAGTCTCAACTGTGATATTTACATATGAATGGGCGGACCTATTTACATATGAATAAACCACAATTAATTCTCCCAAAAAAATGTCTGCGTGTCGCTGGTGTGTTCGGTTTTCGCTTGAAGAAAAGGTGGCAACCATATATTACATAGTTGTGGTAGATGTAAAGTTGATTGTGCAGAGATTGTATGAGCAGATTGTAACGTGTATGCTGAGTCTTAGCATAACAGCGTGTTGTATTGGGAGTGGTGGTGCACCTTTTTCTGTGGTTGTCATGTCACCATCGTGATGATTCCCTCTGCAGAGCTGTATTGGATGTTGTGGGATCTTTATTTTGATTGTTTTCACTGTCAGCAAACTAAATCACTGACCGCTCATGTGACAGAGAGCAGAGGGCGGTCACCCCGCCAACCAATCTCTCATGTCACAGACACATCCTGAGTGCCACTACTGTGCACCAATCCAGGGAGAGTGTCCACACACAGGACTCTGACCCTCTCTCTGCTCCCGGCATACTCAGCGGCCCGCGTCACGTGTTGGACAGCCGCTGGACGCCTGTCACCATGCGTCCGACTTCCGGGTGGCGCTTGCTAGTGACGTCATCGCATCCGGGTGGCGCTGGGTCACACAGTGGTGACGTGTTGTTATGACAGGAGTGCAAGTGCAGAGCGGCTGAGAGAGCCCAGAGGAGAAAGCTGCCGGTGAGGGTGTGTGACAGTCACTGTGTGCGTGTCAGTCTGTGTCACAATGTCTGCGTGTCATCTTGTCTCTGCTTTACTCTGTCATTGTGTGTGTGTATATATGTATATGTATATGTATGTATATAAATCAGAGCTCATAGTCGTGACTGTGCATGTATGTAATTTATCATGTATGGAAGTGGCTGTCTCTGTATTATAGAGGACAGACAGACACCAGGGAATGGTATATAGAGGAGGCTGTGTCTGTATTATAGAGGAGGATGGACAGACAGAAACCAGGGAATGGTATATAGAGGAGGCTGTGTCTGTATTATAGAGGAGGATAGACAGACAGACACCAGGCCATGGTACATAGAGGAGGCTGTCTCTGTATTATAGAGGAGGATGGACAGACAGAAACCAGGCCATGGTACATAGAAGAGGCTGTGTCTGTATTAATAGAGGAGGATGAACAGATGGACGGACACCAGGGATGATGCATAGAGAAGGATGGACAGACACCAGGCCATGGTACATAGAGGAGGATGGACAGACAGACAGACACCAGGGAATGGTATATAGAGGAGGCTGTGTCTGTATTATAGAGGAGGATAGACACCAGGGGATGATACATGGAGGAGGATGGACAGACAGACACCAGGGGATGGTATATAGAGGAGGATGGACAGACAGACACCAGGGGAATTCAGGGAATTGGTAGCAGTGTTATGCAGGAAATGGAGGGCTGTGCGTTATGCAGGAAAGGAAGGGCTGTGCGTTATGCAGGGATGTAGCAATGAGAAAGTTCTTCAGTGGGAACACAGACAACTTTTTCCACATTTTTAGTGCAGTAGGGTAGAGTTTGAATTGTTGTTTGTTTTTTTGTTGTTGCTGAACGTATTCTTTCTCCTACTGCTTTCTCTCTCCTGCTGCGCCAGGGCCAATGTATTTAGAGCGAAGGTCAGTGGTGCACTTTTCCATTTTTTAGTTAATTCGATTTTTGTGCTTTGAAAAGTGTGGGATGTCATTTTTTCTGAGGAAGCCCCATTAGGTTGCACAAGGTTGAAGTTGTGCTTTGCTCTGAGTGCCAGCATGCACCATAGATTTGTCCATAGTGAGTTGTTTGCAGTTGTGTTGTACGCAGCAGAAGGAAAGCAAATATTTGACAAAGAAGATAATGGGAAATACGTGGCACGGTCCCCAAACTGTGAGAAAGTGCTTACTAATGTCGATGTGGCTCGTAGAAATATACAGCAAGTAAAGTTGGGGCTGAGTGCATTTGATGCAGGAAAAAAGGGTAACTCCAGAAAAAGATTTCCCTCCCTGAATAAAAGGTTCAGAGTCAGGTTTTTACTATTGTCTGTTGGAAAGATAAAGTCACCTTGCCCATTCAGTGTCACCATTGCCATTCTGTGTAATGCTGCCCACTGACACCTCTCCAGTGTCCCCACCACTTTTTCCTGGTATTTCCAGGTATGGGAGGAATGTGTGATCTCTTCCCGTGATGTTGTAATTGGGCATAGTGTACAATTGCTGGGCCCGACCTCTGTCACCTCAAAGTGGGAGACATCAATGATTCCTCTGGGCCCCCAGCTCTTGTGGAACTATAAGTCCCATGAGGCATTTTTGGATTTGTAGGTAAAGCACAACTGGATGACAAGAGTTGCCCACTCCTGTTCTAGGCTCTTCCACCAGGTCATTTGTTGACTGAGAGGGAGGAAGGAACAGAGGGAAATTGCTGGAGAGGCGAGTATAAAGATGTGAGTGAGGGGCAGCTTTACACAGACACTAGTACTCACTTGTAATGTGCAAAAAGGATAGCACTTTTATTATGTCACATGCATCAAGAAGCCAACGTTTCGGGGCCGCGCAGGGTCCCTTCATCAGAGCGACATCGTGACATATCAATAAAAACGTTGGCTTCTTGACGCACGTGGCATATCAATAAAAGTGCTATCCTTTTTGCACATTACAAGTGAGTGCTGGCCCCATGGTGACTGGGGATCCAATTATTGCTGGGGTAAGGATTAAAAAGCAGCAGGCTGGGTGGGGGAAGTACAGCTCCTTACAGTAAATGAAGCAGAAGCAGGGAGATGTATGCATTGCAAGTTCTCAGGTGCAGCTTTCTCTCTGCCAAGGAGAACAGTGAGCAGCACAGTCGTAACATCACCAAATCTCACTCGACTTATGATGAGACTAGTAGCCAAAGGCAGCAGTGCCTTTTGGTGATCCCTTTCTGCACATATACAGCTAGAAGGTTACATAGCTGAAGTGCCTTGGCACAAGGATTACACCAATTCATTGATTTTTCAGGGTTCTGCTTAGGGACAATTGTTCTAGATCTGGGTAGGCAAACCCCAGCCCTCCAGCTGTTGTGGAACTAGAAATCCTATGAGGCATAGCAGGGTTCCCACAGCTGCAGGCATGACTCCCAGAGACAGACACATGTTGGGATTTGTACTTTCACCACAACTGGAGGGCTGGAGTTTGCCTGCCCCTATTTTAGATGTTTCCTATAAGATGGGGAATCTTCACTGCTTTCCTTGTGGTCCACTTTAAGCTGGAATGGAGCAATCTCTTACAAATAAGTCTTTGAATTAAACGCATATTTTTATGTACAATGCAGAAAGTGCCTCATGTTCAGCCTGTGCCAGTTTTATAAATCTCCTCCATGTGTCTTGTGTGTGTGCAGCGTCAGTATGTGTACCTTCATGTCATGTAGAGGAGTAGTGTGCTCCGCTTCTGTTTAAATATCTTGTTGGTCTTTGGCTGACCATCACTTATCCAGGTGGAAATGGATGAAATGGAACAAGAGGATCCCATATCTTCCTCCTCCTCATTTGGGGTGGGAGCAGACCCAGCCGTTCTGGGGACCCTCCCCACCTTATACAGTCTCCTGATCTCCAGACTCCTCCAGGTTGGTATATACTGATATGTATTCTACTGTTGTTGGTATACAAGAAGTGCCATTGTCTGGGCTTATGGGAAATTCTCCTTGCTGCTGTTCCAGCTAATGAGTTTAATTGCTGTGTTTTCTTTTCTGCTTTTAGCCTAATCAGCTGATATGAGCTGGTTCTTGGAGGTAAATCTGGGTCACTCGGGTGTGTAGTATTCATTTCTATGGTCAGCTTTACAGAGAAACAGGTCATTGCTGAAAAGTAACTTCTTACTAAGGGGATGTTCTAGAGCTGCAGCTAACGATTATTTTCAAAATCGATTAGTTAGCCGATTATTAAGTTCGATTAATCGGTTGATCGGATAAACAATAAAAAAAATGGCTCCAGTGATGGACTACTAGTTTGTATTGAGATTGTAGTCCATCACAGGAGCAAGCTTGGAGCGGTGGAAAAAAATAGTGTGGTGTGCAATATAGTGAAAAGGAAAGTGTAAAATTATACAGCAATGAATGCAGAATGGCACCGGCTATAGAGGACTACAAATCCCAGCAATAGTACATTATACAGCGCAATGCAGAATATCACCAGCTATAGAGGACTACAACAAATCCCAGCAATAGTACATTATAGCTGGTGGTATTCTGCATTGCGCTGTATAATGTATTATTGCTGGGATTTGTAGTCCTCTATACAGCGCAGTGCAGAATATCACCAGCTATATAGGAATACAACAAATCCCAGCAATACATTATACATACAGTGTATAATGTATTGCTGGGATTTGTATTCCTATGTAATTCCTATTCCTATATAAAGCACAATGTACCATCAGCTATAGAGGAATACAAATCCCAGCAATACATTATACATACAGTGTATAATGTATTGCTGGGATTTGTATTCCTATGTAATTCCTATTCCTATATAAAGCACAATGTACCATCAGCTATAGAGGAATACAAATCCCAGCAATACATTATGAACAGGGCCAACTAACCAGAAGCCGATTAATCGATTATTGAAAAAGTTGACAACTTTTTCAATAATCGATTATAATCGATTATGTCGATTAGTTGTTGCAGCCCTAGGATGTTCCAGGAAAGATCTAAATCTCCTTTTAATTGGGAGGATTTACTAGGAGCTGGACGATACTACGCCTCTGTATATGATGCTGCCATTATTGAATAGGCTGACCTACGCTGGTTCCCTGTTACCTTGATCACCTTTTAGTAAGGCGAATGTGGGAGACGTCCCACGTTGTCTCAAGACTTAATTTACGGCACCGCATGCCACCTTATGCTTATGTGGTTCTTATTATTGCCATCAGCTTCATTGATAGGAAAACATGTTGTAAAGAGGAGTTCTGTCAGCTGTTTCCATGGGGCTTCTCTCACCTCTTTTAATGCTGGCCGTACACTAGTAGATTTGTTTTCTGGCTGAACAAAAAAAAATGTAAATGGCCTCCTCTATCCATGCTGAACAGTGTGAAAGGAGGAATCTCCCACTGTGACTATTGTATTCTGACAGCCAGTGCCTGCCACTATCACCATACACGAACAGTGACTGCAGCTAATTGGCTGCAGTCACTGGATGAGAACTTTCTGCCCAGCTCCTATGGATTTCAAAAAGAAGGTCGGGCAAGAGGCTGCCAACAGGGCCACCCAGTGAGTAAATTTTGGCTGGTTCATCAAGTGTATGGCCAGCTTATAGCAGACCTCTACCCCCATTCACTAAAAATCACTTCAGCATGAAGCTCTGCATGCTGATATAAAATCATATTACATTCATTAAACACATTTTTCTTGCAATTATTGTTTTTCCACTTCCTGGCTTTCTTGGGCATTAGTGATGTAATTGTGCCCAAGCGTTGCATCCTGGGAAAGTTACATCAGCAGAGCATTGCTGGGAAATCTCATCTGTAATCTCACCAGATGTCAGGGAAAGGCATTTTCCTCCCCCGAGATGATGTGCATGGTCACATGTCCTAGAGTTCCAGGAAGTAAAGTGAGATATATATATTTATCTGCCCTTAGTAAACATGGCCACCGAGAGAAGAATGCGGAGAAAAATAAGGTATATAAAGAATAGAAAGCCGGCAATTATCTAGAAGTATGTGTTTGTAGATTGTCATTACTAAACATTTCTAAAGGTGTATTTGTTGTCAGTTTAAAGATAAGGGTAAAGGTCCGCTTTAAGAAACAACTTCGCTGGGAGCAAGAGAACCCGTATCCAAGTGGAGAAATTATTTAGAGGGGGAACGGTCACATTGTGGATACATTTGAGTCATTCTTGTATAAGTGATCTGAAAGCATTTTTTGAATGCCGTTCATATTTATACACACTGACTCTTCAGGTTTTGGTGATTATATTTCATATACAGGTCTATAGAGCAAATCCTTCTAGTGTCAAGTGATGCAGTCAGCCATCCTGCCAAATGACTATTGAGATCAGAGAGATTGTTCTCAGAAAATCTGACCCTACATGTGACAATCTTATTGTACAATCATCTTTAAATCTTCCAACAACTTTGGAGCGCAATGGCCAGCCTGAGTGGGTGTCCTTTGCATGGATAGCATTAGACGGCCCTGGTATTAGATTATTATTAGTTATTTCAAACTATTACTAGAAAAAAAAACTATCAACTAGATTATCTCAAACAATTCATCCCCACACAGCTACCTCCTCGTGTATCACTGGCCCCTCCCTCTTAGATTGTAAGCCCTCAGGGGCAGGGCCCTCCTTACCATCTTGTCTTGAATTGTATTGTGATTGTAATGTCTTCCTTATATTGTAAAGCGCTGAGCAAACTGTTGGCGCCATATAAATCCTGTATAATAATAATTCGTTTTTGTGGTAGATCTAAAGAAGTCTGTACAGCAACTATGCAACTAGATTGTAACACGTATGGCAAACTTAAAATGTATGTAAGCCCGAACAATGAACTTGTTTTATGCGCTACCTTTTGGTCTGGTAAATGGGAAAGCGTTTTGTTATATCTGTTTTATAGGTTCAAAAAATATCTGTTGATACTGCCAGAAATCTTGAACGCTGATATCTTTCTGTTCTGTCTGCCTGTGTTAATTGTAATCGGGGGTAAAGTTCTGTAGTCCTATCTTGTTTTTGTGGTCCTGACACAAGAGGACACGTGAGTGTTGTCACCCGAGGACAGGAAGTGCGATACTGGCAGAATCACCTTTGGAAAATAAACAAACAAAAAGCCTCAAAAACAAATGCAGCCACAACATCTAAGGACTGGTGAGCTGCAATATATGTGAACACGGGAACAGCAATCCTTAGATGTGGTGTCTGCATTAGTTGGTATTTTTTAGGCTTTTTGGTCCTTTGTTTTCACCTGGCGATCCCACCTCACTCCATCTCCATCACATAAGGAGGAGGTGTTGGGCAGCGCTAATAACACGGCAGAGAGCATGGGATTTACCAGCTCACTGCATTGCTGGCAGGATCAATTAATGTTTTTGCACTTATAAAAGAGATATAACAAAACGCTTGCAATGGTATAGTTGAGAGACCAAAATGGAGCAAATAAGCGCAATTGTACATACATTGAGAGAAATTCTACATATATTATTGATTGTTATTCGCCATAGTGCTTGCAGCTATCACTAGGTTGTATTGGTGTGAGATATCGCTGAGATCAAATAAGAGAAAATTCCTTAGCTATACAAGAAATACAGTGTGTGGATGTAACAAACAAATATGTCTGCCCCCATGTACATATATAATTACAAACTCTGCATAGAAACTGGCCCCTGTAAACATTAGCACTTGTTGGCAACATTATTATAGCTAATCACATTCACTTAAAAACAAAACAAAAAAAGTGTATATATATGTATGTATTTGTACACACACATTATTTATATACATATATACATATATATATATATATATATACATACACACACACATACTTTTTTAAAGTTATTTTCCTTTCTTTCCTTCTTAGTACATTTCTTTTTAAGCAAAGACAAGAAAAGTGTAAATGAAAAAAAAGAAATACATTGTCTACTCATAAAGTTTACTAAACCATGCACGCAGAGTTAGGGTCGTGTTGCTCCGTTTTGTATCTGATTGGTGAAATGGAATTGCAGCACATATGCCGAAACTTTATTGCAAATTTTTTCCGATTTGTGTTCTTTGAACTTTCTTCTAAACTAACGGTTTGCTTTTACAGCTTATGTCGGCGCTACCTGAAGACCTGCGGCCTGGTCCTGATTTCTATGGCGTGCAATGGGAGGCCATCATTATCACGGTCTTTGTGGGGCTAATCTCAGTCCTGATTTTTTTCTGGAGGACCTGTCTCTCGGTGAGTTCTCTGACTTTTCCTGGTTTAATATCTAGGTTTGGACTTTAAAACATCAGATTACACAAACTGAATAAACGCAGGAAGCGCTGGGTTTCTTATTACAAACATTGTGGTTTCATATTAAAAAGTGTAAGAGTTTGTGTAGAATTCCCATTGGCTTCTATAGAGAAGTGTTTGACTTTCTTTGGCTGCAGCGTGTCCCGTTGCAGTCCTGCAGGTAATGTAGCTCAGGCGCAGCTTGTTCTTGTCATACCGAGTTTTGCATTTGGTTGCATGCGTTTGAGCAGCACTGTGTTCGAATGAGAAAGGCTTCTTTGACAAGAACAGTGACTGCAGCCTGTTAAGTACAGTGACTGCAGCCTGTTAAGTACAGTCACCCGTCAGCCGAGAATTTTTAGACCGGCTCGTTTTACAGAGTTGATTAAAAAATCAACTTTTGTCGAACGGAGTGGCACTGACAGGGTCACACATTGCTTAAATTTCATCCGAGTTCTGCTGACAAGTATCCATAGAAGAGGACAATTGTGGTCTGTGGCTTACATCTCTATGCTGCATATGGTGGTAAGCAGGTATGACCAGGATATGCATATTTTCCCATGGTGACAACTTCTAGACACTGGAGAAAACATGCTGCAATCCACCACATACAGGAACTGTCCTCTCCTGTTAACTCTGCTCGGTCCTGGTTTTCATGCCAGGTGCTGTGTACCATCCACAATGGACATCGCACATTTTGGAAACATTGAAGGTGAACCTGTTGCCTTCATTGTGTCCAATTTTCAGTGTGCGACATCACATGAGGTTATATACTGAACAATGCTTTCCAACCTACAAAATGGCTGTACACAGCCCGCAATAGTGTAAAATATAATTACAGTAGCACGTTTTTCTGCCTCTATCATATATAAAATACACACACACACAGCAATGCATCTGTATTTTATTGAATGTGTGATGTCCTCTCATTTGAAGTCTACTTTCTCTATTTTGCTCCCAGTCCAGAGGTCAAGGCTCGCAGCCAGTGTACCACCCCACAGGCACAGAGTATTAGCAGAGAAGCTTTTCTTAGCAATCTGTTAATCTTATTTGCAGTGTTCCCTTTCAGTGGCTGGCCTGTGCACAAACCATGACCTTTGTATACAGTCCTCGTAGAAATGTGATGACTGTACATCGTCCCACTGTGACACGTGTTGTTCTGCTGTCTTGTAACACAAGTTCTCTTCTCTCCTCTTGTAGGTGAAGAGCAGAGTCTATCAAGGTAAAGTTTAACATCTATAAGTAAATACTTATTTATTTTTTTAAATTATGGGAACTTATTTGTTTTTTCACTGATCTAGAAAATAAATTTTGCTACTTCAGCTGTAGAAAAGTAGGAAGGCTCCGCTGAAGGAGCGTGGACTGGAGCCTAAAGGAGAGCGGACTTCTGGGTAAATAGCATTAGTACAGAGCAGGCCTGGAATTGAGAGCACATTCAATTGCAGACCTACTTTGTAAAAACCCAGAAGACATTTCTTCTATTGGAGATGCCTATTTAGATGATTATTTCTGGAGCCATTACCTGACATCTTTCTAACTATACTCAGTACTCCAGTTCAGACAAGAGCCGGAGATATTTCCTGTGTACAGTGTAAATCATAAATAGAAACCAGTAGGAAGGAAACCCATATGGTAACTCTGAGCATATAGCAATTTCACAAACAAAAGCCACAGTCAGCCACAAAATGATTCAAGTCAAATTAGCTGGTGCTCCTCTCTGTATATCTGTATATGTAGCAACTTAGTAGGATGATATTGCATTGTCAGCTGCATTCTAGAATTTTCTCATTCCTACGTTATGACCGTTTAAAATACGCAGATACCCAAAATCTCAACGGGTCACCCTTATCTTTCAGTATTTACCGTCATTGTAGGTGGTCAGATCTTTGCAGATTGAGCTTCTTCTCCCTGCCGAAGAAAGAGAAATTTCAAGCAGCATCACTCAATCATTAGGAGGCGAGTTCAGAAAATGGTCTCACAGAGTAGCTGAAGGAGGGGTGGAAGGAGTCTGTCTGGAGCACAGCTTTTAAAGAAGAACTCCATGGGAAAATTGTATTAACCCTTGCAGTGGGGGTATTCCTGCCCTGCAAGGGTTAACTGCTCATTTTTGTCTAGGTGCTGAAAGAAAATTATACTCGCCCAAACTGCTGAGCCAACTCCCTGCTTCACCAGTCACTGAAATGGGTCTCCTCCTCCATGGGAAAAATGAAAAAAAATCTTGCTGCACTCGTATATAATCCCATATAATAAAAGTAGGTGCTCGTAGTGACTGCGGATGGCACCGCGGACAGCCGACTTGATAAAGACGTCACCAGCACACCAAGGTTGTTTGTCAATGGAAAGAAACGCCCATTTATTTACGCATATTGTCACTTAATACAAGCGCTTTTAGGACCACGTAGGTTCCCCTTAATCAAGTCCTCCTCCACTGCACACATGGAATGTTCCTCAGCGTTCTCACATCTATACACTTGCATACAGTATGATGACACAACGATTCTTAGATCACTGCAGAGGCTCTAGGGGACCGGTCTCGGGGCCGCTTCATGCCACAAAGTCTGCGTTGCAGTGCGTTCGGCACTCTTTTTCCAAATTGCACTGGACCGGAACACAGTCGCTAATGGGCGATCGCACTGCAGGCGGGGCATGGCTGCGGTGCCATTGACTTCAATGCACCGCCCCGCCCCTGAACGCAGGGAGCTGGCCAGCGTGTGTTCCAGAGGCCGAACGCACTGGAACGCGGACTTTGTGGTGTGATCCAGCCCTAAAAGCAAGGCGGCTCCACTGATTGGGTGAGTATAACTTTTTTTTAGACAAAAATTAGCAGCTAACCCTTGCAGTGCGGGGGTAGCCACAAATGATTTATTTACTGCTCCCATTTTGAAATCCAGTCACAAACTGCGGCACGGGGCCCCTGCATGTATTTAGTTAAACCCTGTCCATCCTGTGTTTCAGACAGGCATTTCTAGAAAGCTGAATTCACATCAAGAAGATCTCTGTTGTCTTCCATGTACTCATTTTTGGTCTGTAGGAATGTTGCTCTCTACCCTGTACAGTGCAGACTGCAGACATATGATGTAAACAGAGCAATATTTACTCTGATCTGACCCTATAGTAGCAGCTCAACACACAGGGAAAGTAAAGTCAGTGCTAAGAGGTTATTTTTGCAAATCTTCCTGTTTCTAAACAAAAGCAGTCTGCCAGTTTGGTTGAAGGTTATTCTATTGTGCCTAATGACCGGTTCCAAGCCTTGTACATTTGCATTTGTTAAAAAAATGGATGGTGAGAAAAGCATTTACTGCATAGTACAATGTGATGGGCGCTCTCTAGCATTGCGCTGTTAGTGTGCCAATAACTCTTTTCTCATTACTGGATGTGTTAAACCACAACAACTGCCATCTGTACTGTTATCAGATGTGCGCTCAACTGTGTCTCACTTTGTTTAGTTCTTATAGGTGTAAAACATCCCAACCAAACGAGAGCAATACACACATACAATATTTCAAGTATTTGTTTGAGATGTCTGTTGCTGCTCCTTGAATCTTATGTCCTAGGGAACTATAAGGCCAGTTAATATTGGTCAAATGTCAAATTGTTATGGCATGAAGTGGTTGTCCATTCTGCGAAAATAGCGGACCCCTATGTGTAGCTCCCACTGGTGTCCTTCCAGAGGGTTCTCTGATGTATGGCAGTGTTGCTCATCAACAGTCCCCCCGACTTAGGCTGGGTTCACACCTAGGCGTTTTTTCGCGCTTTCGTACTCGCGGAAAAACGCTCAAACAGGGAAATGCCATTATTTTCAATGTGCATGGTTCCCATCTGGGCGGTTTTCCGCAAGTACGAACGTGCGGGAAACCGCCCTACGCCCAAAGAAGTACATGTACTTCTTTGGGGCGTTTTGGTGGTGGTTAAATTGGGATACAGCCAAGTATCCCTCGGAAACGCGCGTTTTTTGCGCGGTAAAACGCGCGTTTTTTGCGCTGTAAAACGCGCATTTTTTGCGCGGTAAAAAAACGCGCGAAAAACATGCATATTCAATCCGCCTAGGTGTGAACCCAGCCTTATTGTACCAGAAACTGCTGACACTCTACCAACTGATTATCTCCGGTCTCCAACCACAGATCAAGGAATTTTTATTAATTAATATTTTTTGTATGTTTTATATGATCAAATGGGTTTAGTACAACTTTATTCATTTATCATCAAGCTGCTTTTTACTTTTTTAAAAAAACTTTAAATAATACTGGTGAGGGTTCCTACCTACCTTCTTGAAGGTCCTCATTACTAACTACCTTCTTAAAGGTCCTTATTACACTGGCAATGTTATAGTTTGCCCCAACACCTGTCACTTTTGCTGGACAGCTTGGTCTGCAGGTAAATGTAGAAAAAGTAATACTAAAAGCATGTTAAATGGCTTTTTGTTTTTAAATATGTGGTCATTTTCTTGTAGTCAATGAAAAGCAGCTTGCAGAGAAGATAGCTGCTTTGGTGAAAGAGAAGAGCGAGGCTTTGGAGAAGATATCCGAGTTGGAGAATAAGGTAATTATTTTTGCGGTGAGATCTGCGGAAGAATTGCTTCATAACCGAATCTGATGGCTTTGTCACCGTTCTCTGCAGATAAAGGAAGCTAAAGAGTGTGAGAGCACGACGCAGGAGAAGAACACTCAGATACAGGAAGAGGCTGCCTCCCTAAAGGTAACTGAAGGAACTTTTATTACTACTTCTCTGTAGACTTCCTGCATGGCTCAAGGAGACAAAAAAATAAAACAATGTGACAGCTGTGTGAATAGGGTGAGAAATGGCTGGAACCTCTGTTAAAGCTAGGACTAAAATGTAAAATAAATTGCCCCTGCAATGATGAGCTTAGACCACGGGTAGCCAAACTCCAGCCATCCAGCTGCTGAGGAACTACAAGTCCCATGAGGCATTGTAAAACTGACAGCTGCATCCATGACTCCTTGCAGCAAAAGCATGATGAGATTTGTAGTTTCTGCACAACTGGAGGGCTGCAGTTTAGCTACCACTGGCTTAGACACTTGCCTCTTCCATCAGCTTTACATGATACAGCAGTAGCGTATGGGTTGGAAGATGGTGCCATAGCTTGCTACGGGGGACCCAGTCATCCAACACTCCCACAGTTGTCAGATGCTGAAGAGTGATGAAGCTTGCAGCTCTTGAACAGAGGGAAGGTAGGAGACGACAGTGACCAAACAGGTAAGTTAAATAGATTTGTTTTGCCTACTTACAGGGTCTCTTTGAGGTAGTCATAGAAGAACAGACCTTTCACTGATAATAGTGTGAAAAGAGAGATTCGGTACAGTCTTTTCCCTGGACAAACGGATACCATTTGGGAATGTTGGGAATAGTCTTTCCCCAGGTGAAAGGGAGGCGATCCTTCCTGATCACTGGGATTTTCCAAGGTGTTAAAAACTTTCTTTGTGCAGCAACAGGCGTGTCCGGTGCTCAGGAATACATTATTGTTTGTAAATACTATATTAAGTGCAGTGGAATGTATACCCTAGATCAGTAGTTGCAAACCTTGGCACTCCAGCTGTTTTGGAACTACAAGTCCCATGAGGCATTGCAAGGCTCTGACAGCCACAGACATAACTCCCAGAGGCAGATGCATGTTGGGATTTGTAGTTTTGGCACAGCTGGAGTGCCAAGGTTCGCCACCACTGCCGTAGATCCTTAGTTCTCAACTGGTGGGTCGTGACCCAAATGTGCGTCGCTACCCTGTGTTTAGTGCGTCGCCGTGTGCCTTCCACTTTTCTAGGTGAGAGGCCAAGCAGCCATTCATATGCTGATCGGCGCCAAGTGTCAGCTTAAGGTGGGGTGGGGTGGGCTGGAGCTATGGCCGCGAGGGAGCTCCATCCATAAATTCATTGCTTACAGCTTCCTTGCATGTCCTGTAGAGGTGCCTGGACCGGAGTGACGTCACATTCTGGCTCCCGGCAGCTCTACAGGGCATGCAAGGGAGTTGTACAAGCAATGCACATATGGATGGAGCTCTGTCACATCACAGCAGCCCACACTGGACCCCAGGCCGAGGATCCACTACAGTTCTTGTAAGGTAGGGAGACTGGGTGGATCTTAAAAAAAGGAGTGGTGTGTGAAATTGTGTCTGTGGTTGTGTGTGTCTGTCAGTGTTCTTGAGAGCCCGTTCACACTAGTACAGTGTGATAATCGAACAGCCCTGTGCGATTAACGCACTGTACCATGCAATCGCACCGACTACGCATTCTGGTGTGGAAGGTGCGTTGCCATTCTTTTGAATGACACCCCAAATGTACCTCCCTCCCACAGTTCAATCGCCCGCAACGTGCGGTACCGCAATGCAGTGCGTTTCATTGCAGTGCGACTTGGGTCACGACTTAATGACCAAGGACAAATGTGGGTCCTGAGGTTACATCTGCCCTAGATGTAGTGATATGTCTCCCTGTACAGTGTTACACAAATTTCTGGACTCCGCAATGTTTGCAGGTAATAAATCATGTAGTCATCCTTGGTTTAATGTACTTTTTATTAATGTGGTTTGTCTCCCTCTTCTATAAGGTTACAGTTAAGGAGCTGAAAAATAGTAACAAACAATTTGATGGCAAAATGAGGAACTTGCTTCAGGAGCTGGACTCTCAGAAAAGTCAGAACAAGAGGAAACAGGAAATGGTAAGTCTTTGGTCCGATCACCCGTTCGTAAAGACCCATTGCTGTACATTTTGTTTCAGAAGGCGGCCTGGTCTCTGTCGCCAGCTGCTGTTTATTATGGATCTAATCCCTTCGCTGAACTGACAGTTGGTAAAGGACCACCGTGGTCAAAAGAAGACAAAAAATGATTTGCTTTTTGTGGCAGAGCTTCCAGTCCTGTTAAAGTCCCCACAGCGGTAGAGGGAGAGTGGTGGGAGGTATGCAAACTCCTGTCATGTTAAACCCTCCCATTCTCAACTCTCAGCACTTAGACATTTACACACGCCACAGGTAGCGGAACAAATTTAGAGCTGTTTTGTATTGAACCCTAACTCCACTTGACCCCCCTCCTTTTTTTTCCACTTTGGAGAAAATACATATATCTCTACTGCTCCTAAGGCAAGTGAATATTACATTTCTTTAGAGTGCCAGGCTAAGTCACTTAATTGGATTAATCAAAATCACCATACACATTTGTAACGTTTCTGACGATCACTACTTATAAGAAATATCACTACATTGTTTCAGTTCTTCTTTCAAATAGATTCAGGTACTAGATACTGAAGCTTGGCCCAGTGGGAGATTACTCCATCCACACAGTGTAGCGTAGATGGAGGAATCTGTTGCACTTTTTCCATCTGACCATAGAAAATCTGCAGATAATTGTAAGGTGTTTGGCCAGCTTTAGCCTCTATTTGTATTGCATTTGCCCTGATGCTACACATCTGATCAGCTATGACACAAGCTATTTGAGGACTTGAAAGATTAGTTAAGAGCTGAAATAAGGACACTGGCAACCTTGAGAGTTATTACTAGAGGAATGCCTTGAAAGTATCTGCTTTGGGAAACAGTGAAATTGGTGGGTCTCGTTCTGCTTTATTGTGTCATTTTTTATCAAACAGAGGAATTACATTTTGTGCACAGAATGCATTCTGTTGTTGTAAAACTAATCATCGGATATCTCCCTAGATCTATGAAGGACAGAAATCCATAGAGCAGCTCAAGCAGCAGTATGAAGAGCATTCAGCAGAACTCTCAGAGGTAACATAATGTTGTGCCTCCTGACTTCTGGACTATTCTTAAGGGACCGTAATATACAGGGGTACGGGTACTCCTAGAATGAGATCCTAATAGGTTGGACTTGATGGACTAATGTCTTTATTCAACCTCAAATACTATGTAACTATGTAACTATATCCAATCGCCCTGATTTAAGTTGCATTGGTTTATTGCTCATTCTCTTTTTGCAAAAAAGAACGGGGAAGGGAAGGTATATGCACAATATCTCTAATATAAATTAGATATAAATGGGGGTCCCCTAACTATTCAAAGTTATTTAGAAAAATAAGTTTTTGCAGTCACAAACGGAAAAGAGAGCCTGAACTGAACACCCGTGACGCGTTTCGCCCCTCCCACACACGGGGCTTCCTCATTCTCTTTTTGCTTAATACCTTGTTTGTTTCAGCTGCAAATTGCCTTAAATGAAGTAAAAATGAAGGAGCAGAAGGTGCGCTCTAATCTTCGCAGTGTGCAGGAGGAAAACACCTGTTTGAAGGAAAGGAAGGAGCAGGTACACCCCAGATTTATCTCCCCATTTTATCTGATAAATCTTTAGTCCTTGTCTGTCTAGAGCTGGATAATCCAAACTACTGACCTGTCTCCTTGTCCACTTCGCTGGAGTACAGCGAGACCTATGTGTTGTTATAAGGGCACATTGTGAATTGCAGTAGTGTACTGTAACCTTTACAAGTCGATCAGTAGCCAGATTGAAACCATGTAATTAAAGCCCAATTAAAGTCACACACTTTTTTTTGTTTTTATCTCTTTGTAGTTCTTGACCCCTGCATGTTATAATTTGAAACTGAGTTTTGATAGTAAAAGTTATTTTTAAGCATTTCCAATCAGTAAGAATGCTTTTTCCAGCTCTCTTCTTCCTGTGCTCTGTGCTGGCATTGCTGAGTAACAGTCATACCCCTCAGCACAAGTTTCCCCACTCAGACACTTGTGTTGTAGATGAAGAAAAGGGAAAGTGCCAGATCAGGTCTGTTACTGAGTGCCAATTACAAAATGATGAAGTTCAATGGTGCCTACATGTGCATCGATAATCGTCTTGCAATCAATCATTCGATGCAACTAAACTGACTGAAGAAAAATGCCAAACCCGGGATCCTCCTTTCGATCGCTTTAGAAAGTTCTCAAACAATCTGCATCGTGAAATGGCCATGATGGGATTTTGTCTTTCACGTCTGATCATTTGTATATCTGTATGTGTGGCAGAGAATTGATCATAATACAGATCGATCATAGTATCACTGTTAAATAATCACTTACAATTATTACTGATCAGTTGTATTTTGTAATTTTTAAATCAAGTTCACTTTTTTTGTAAAGATGAATAATACTGACATTTTCGAGTTAATTATAATCCTATACTCATTGTTATAGCTCCAAATTTTTCCTACATCTCCGTACAGAGGAAACTTGCCCACTTACTTTACTTCCCTTCCCCACAGGAGTTTACTGCCCAATATCCCTACTAGGGATGCACCGATACTGGTACTAGTGTCGGATCGGTATGGTGCCGATACCGAGTATTTTGGCGAGTACTCGTACCTGCCCAAATGCTCCGATACCTTCCCCGATAGTAAAACATGTAGCCGGCTTCCTAATTGGCCGGGAAGCCGGCTCAATGCTGATTTGCTGTGAAGCAGGCTTCCGGCCAATCGGCATCGATCTGTCCAAACATCAGGAAGCCGGGCGGCGGGTAATGATTGGCTGGGAAGCCGGTTTCCCAGCCAAACACCATGGAGCCAGCTTCCTAGGCAATAAAGAAGCTGGGCAGAGGGTCATTCTATTACCCGCCACCCGGCTTTCTGATTTCCCGGGAAGCCGGCTCCATGCTAGTGCACATACCGGTACTCCGTATCGGCGAGTACCAAAATATAAATATCGGTACTCGTTCTCGATGCTGAAAAACCGGTGCCGACATTAGGATCAAATTAGGGGCTAGAAAATGAAATCCGTCTTTTCAGCGAGTATGGTAGAAGGAGTTTCAGTCATTCAAGTTTTGAAGTTGTCTTTTATTCATCTTCCTTTGCATGTGACTTAAGCATTCAGCAGTCATGATGCATTAGAGGTACGACCTATTCCGCTCTAAGAAAACATTAGTGTCAGTCACCATGATGTAGTGGACAGAATATGGGCACAGAGTTATTCAGGTTGTCAGGTCCGTGATTGGGAGTTTCTCTCCAATGCCATGGAACAGTGTTAAATGGTTTCGGTATGAATTGTAATAACAGCAATTCAACGACTATCTGTTTAGCATAATTTTGAAGCAATAGATTTGAGACCGGATTTACCATGTTAAACGTTTTTTAGCTGCTGCAAGAAGCCGAAGGTTGGAGCGAGAGACAGCGAGAGCTCGAAGAGCAGATCCAGCTGCAGCAGAAAGCTCACAAGGATATGGAGGAAGCTCTGGCTTACAAAGAGAATGAAATCGAAGTAAGTCACAACCGTTTTTCATTGCTGACTAGACAATCCTGCATGGAAGGGCCTTGTTGGATCACAGAGTGCTTTTTCCATGCATTTATTTAAACACGGTTGTCGTTTATTTATGTATTCCAGATATTTATATAGTGCCATCAATTTACACAGCGCATTACATACTCATTTATTTACATCAGTCCCTGCCATCAAGGAGCTTACAATCTCATGTACACAAACTAGAGCCAATTAACCTACCAACATGCCTTTTGGAGTGTTGGTGGGGGGGAGGAAATAGTTACCCAGGGGAACCCACAAAAGCACAGGAAGAACATGCAAGATAGTTTCCTGGCCGAACCTAAACATGCTGCAAGGTAGAACTACTAACCACTGAGCCACTGTTCTCCATAAACTATAGCAAGTCCGGTTCATAAAAAATGGGGAAGTTGTCAGTACTTTACAGTTAATCTTAAGCTTTGCAATAGTGGTGACAAGATGGGGTAACAACCACTGTGCAGAGAGAGATCTCAGTGGTCTTCAGTTGCACAATGCTGGCAATGGGAGCTTCATGATGGGAAAGAAGTAAAACAAAATGTGCACATTCCTTTTTTTTTTTTTTTTTTGTTCCCAACGTGT